GTAAAAAAAAAAAAAAAAACAAAAAAAAAACCCCTTATATTTTAAAAATACCATTATCAGACTTTGAAATGTAGAGGAAGAATTGATATGACTAATAATATAACTTATAAAGGCAGATCATGCATAGTACTGACACTTGGCCAAGAACTTCCTAAGGTTCTGTTTTGAAAGGCTCCATGATGACATAAATTCCTTTCAAAAAATATTTGGTTTATTTAAAAAAAGGGAAACAATCCCCCAAATGATGCCAATTTGACATTCATTAATCAGCACTGATATTAACTTTCTTCCATCCTCCAGAGCTAAAATTAAACTACAGCCTCTAACACTTCCTGTTTGTGTTCCTACATCCTTAGTAGGGGTGTTTTTATTTTTTACTTTGAATGTTTTGGTTTAGATTTTTTGGGGCAGGGGAAGAGGGGAACCAGGACTGTTTTCTTTTAAAGCATTATTGCCGACATCATGTAAATCAGTTAGCATACTCAAGCAGAAACTCCAACCTACACAACCTAACAAAAAAAAGCACAAATCAAAACCAGTTTTGGGCATGCTTCATACTAAACCAAAGCAGGACAGCACCACAACTCTTAATGCAGTCCAAAACCAGGCACTTCCTTTTTGGCCAATAAAGTTTTACATCATTTTTGCCAGTAGTGAACTTTGCTTTTTAATACACCATGCATTCCCCGGCACTTTGGCTGAAAGTGAAAGCTGCTGCAGCCTAACTATGTTATTTTGACTTCTGATACAATGCAAGCATGGAGACACATACATTCCATTACCTTCCATCCTTCTCCTCACAGTGGCAATAATGCAGAGGCGAGAAGTGAGGCTCTCTCCTTCTATTCTGTATTTTGCTGCTCCATTTGCTCTAAGAGACTGTGACCAACTGTTCCACCTACTTTAGCTCAAGTTTGCTTAAACAGTGCTCTCAGATATCTTCATTCTCTTACGTCAGCCAGTTTCCTCAGGACTGTTCCACAGGGCAGTCTGTATATTGTTATCCAAACTGCTCATCTGAAGTAAGCCCAGCATTTCCTCAATTGCAACAGAGATAAGCTGCTAGCTGATGATTTTCAGTGGGGAAAATATGTTCCCCTGGGACTTCAAGGATAATACACAATATTACTGAAGTTCCAAGGCTATGAAATAACACTCAGTATTATGTAATAAGAGGATCAAGTTAACAGAACACACACTGAAATATCACCATTGAAATGCATAGCGAAATCATCTTCCCCCCAGTTTGTAAGACCTCTGATGGGAGACTCAGTCCTCCAAGGCTAAGCAGGTGCTCAATGCCACTCTGAAATCTCACATCCTCACAGGTAATGCATACCTAAAGTTCCTGGCTATAACATGTCACTAAACACACTTTCTACAAAATCAAAGATCCATATTATTCACTGGAACAAGCAAAGGAATGAGAAAAACAAGTGGGATCCTATTCTTAATTCTAAAATATTTTCTATAGCTTAAACTAGTAAAAATAAAAAATATTTAAACTCAGATATTCCTTAAATCTCAGTTAAAAAAAAAACCTGTTCATTAGTCTCAGCAATTTTCTTCTACTGAAAACTTTCAGGGACATAAATATAAAAAAACACACAGTAAAATGTCTCATAAACAGGGTCAGTCATTGGAAGCTACTTTTGCCAGCATCAGTTTATGTAGTCCATTACATTTTCTTTCACCATAAAATTTTATTAAGTCCTGGTAACTCTATTGGTTTCTGGGCATCATCAATTTTAATTACTATTGCTTTTTCTTCTGTTGAGTTTGAATATTTTTAATCTATCCCTTTAATCTCCTTTTACCAAATAAATAAATCAATTTATTTTTTGTCCTAGTATTTACCATACAGCTGCAACTGTGTACATAAATTAAAGTAAATTAAAATGTATTTTAAGTTAGATGAGAAAAAAATAAAGCTGAAGAAACTAAAGCAGGCTAATCATAAACAAAGTGAAAGCCTAATTACAAAGCTTACCATAAAAAAAGCCCCAAGCCAAAGAATAAGAACAAAAGTCCTAACAATGGAGGAAATCATTGTTATCTTATCCACATTTAAGCCTTGATACATTTCATAACACCTGTACACCTAAAATACATATATTTGACCTTGGCTAAGTTCCATAACATAGGCTGGGAGGTCTCAAAATTCTACTCCTGAAATTAAAAACTTAAGTAAAGAAGGAACTTTTTCAATCTACTGAAGACACTTCTTTTTTTTTTTTTTTTAACTCTACTGTCCTTCTGCTTGGATTAAATATCCAAGATAAGCATAAAAAAACCCCCAATTGTCACAGGTATTACTGCTATTACTCCTCCCTTCTGCTCATGTTGACAACTATATGACCAGCAAACATATAGATACACATACTATACATTACATTGCTGATTACTGTTCAGACAGGCCATAAGGTACAAGGCATAAAGCATTGCTTGCAACAGCAGTACCCCATAAAGAACCTTCAGAACCAGCACCAGGTAAGCTGAACTACTGCAAATAATGTTGAATAAATTCCCCCAAAATACTCAAAGTATAGAAAGGACCAAGCCAGCAACTGGATTTAAGGAAGGCATGTGTCTGCAATTTCCTTTTCAATTTTCCATATGATATGAAGCTGATATACAGAAGTCCCTTCAACACTGACATTTTTTATGTTGTTGAATTGCTTGAACAACACTGGTAAAACTTCAAATTTTGTCCAAACCCAGAGGCTTGAACCTACAATGGAAATCAGATGCTTATTTTAAATAATGCCTACACTTAAGAAATGCTAAGTTTTGACAAATACTAAGGAGGTCCATTAAATTCTTAACTGGTAGTTTACTTCCACTTCTAGCTTGAGCAACCAGAGGTAAAGAAATGACGAGTGTGGGTGTGGAGAAGAGAGATATATCCTGATATCTGCCTGGAACAATCTCTGCCCCTCTTGGAGTTCCTTTGTTTTGGCTTGTTTTGTTTAGAGCTGCAAGAACTCTGCAAATGGGTGTTCCCAGCTTCTGGCAGCCATATGTGCTGCCTGCCATCTGTTTTCATTCCACCGCACTATGGAGACAAACACACTTTATTTTTAGTGCTCTACATTTCCTGATGTTGCACATAATAAGGATTATATCTTAAATCCAACCCACTATATGTGAAGAATCTTCCCATGTTAACAAATGAGTTAAGGAGACAGATTTTCCTACAAGATCAGATAAGATAATTTTCACTACTTACTTTCATTGTAAGTCATATAATTTACACTGAAGTTTGATTCCTGCATAGCTGTGCTTTGTACCTCTTCTTTCTTTCTACACTGCCTAGAAGGGGCTTCCTTCATATATTTTAAGGATACATCTTCCCAGCAACTTCCTGGGGTGTAGGAAATTACTAAGCATTAAGTCTCAAAACAGGATATGAAGAAATCAACAGCTGGACAATCAACACTAGACAGACAACAGTACAACAAATATGTGTTTGAAAGGAGGAATTCTCTGCACAGGCTCCCACATAGTTCTGTTGGAAACCATGCATCCCAGAATTAGTTTGCAAGCATTAATTGGGTAGTATAGTATTTATGTAAACTTTTCATGGAAAATATTTCACTGTTAGACCTCAGTGCAACCTTGGAAGGCACCCATGGATGGCACAGTGGACAGCCAGTTGTTCTTTAAAATGCACCTGACTAAGCTGGATTCTAGAAAACATTGATGATTTTACCTGTATTAAGCCATATATTTCTAGGCAACAGTATTTTTAATTTCCCCATTTAATCTCCACCTCCTCAAACTTCTAAAAAGTTGAGTAAGCACTGACTTCTATCTACATGTCCCCTGATTACCATCTACCACTCACCCAGTATTGCACCATTGCCAGCATAACTTAATAATCATACTTTTAGAGGAGAATTAGAGCAGCACAGATCTTCCCACCATGTAATACTGCAAATTCAGGATACTGTAAGTTAACATTAAACAACTGTGGATGACAAATTACCTGTGGTTTAAAAAAAAATAATTTTAAATGTATTAAAAGCTGGGCTGAAGTGGAGATCAACAGAGGAAATCAGTGCCTTTAAAACAGCTTATGTGTGAAGAGATTCAAAGTGTTCATTGTTTATAGGGTACTCCAAAAGACAACTGAAGGAGTTCCATTTTTCATATTAGCTCTATTCAGTGTGAGGGTTTTACTTATTAATTCTTTCCTAAAATAATCACTTCTGTTCATTGCATGTGATCTTATAAATACAGAAGTACTTCTTGATTAATTAGACTGGCAAGGCATTTTTCCATCTTTTTAATTCATTCAAACTATTTAAAAATGGACTTCAATTACTTTACTGTTTTAAATTATCTACAGCTATTACTCTTCCCCCAGAGATTCTTACCAAAATTATGAGAAAATTACTTTAACTTAATATTTTTAAATATATTTTGCCTTCTTGTTTCACATTACCAGATGCCATTAAGGAATTCTGCAATTCCTCAAGATCCTCTAAGTACTACACTGCAAAAACAATTTCTGCTTTAAAGCAGTAACTTTTTCAGCTATCAAAATATTAAGTGGAAACACTTTTGTTGATTGGTGGCACCTGAGTTGTCTTCCTTTTTTCTTACAAGGTAGTACTCATATTCACTTAAAATACTCTTCTGTTGGGTTCCCACTCAAAATTTCAGAAAAAGCATTTAACTGAAACCAAATACAGAATTTTTAAATGGAGACTGACAAGTTCATTTTGCATTAGTCAAGAACTGATAAACACCCTTCCAGTGTATACAATACAATAAATACCCTGTCACTCTGTTTACATGTATTATGGGGGAGACTCCTCTAATTCCCCTCATAAACTGTCCATTTACATTCTGAAGCAAAGTATATAATCCATCACACATTGTTCTGTCACTTCTGAGCTGCCATAATCTACTATTTTTTAAGATTCCTTCGTTCACTGTGCATATGCAGTTTTCTAATAAAATCTGAATAGTTTTATATTTGCTTAGATTTGTTGAAAGGTCAGCAAACATTTATTTCAACACAAATTATTCTTGACAAACACTTCAAATCAATATAGAGATTGGAAAGATCAGAAAAAGGAAGAAAAACTTTAAAAACACTGATCTTGAGAGCATCATCCTTAATTCTCACTTATTTAAAAATAAGACCATAGTTTGAACTTTGCATTTTAGTTCTATATTAGAATATCTCCTGTATAATCCAGGCAAGGCCTTCCTCACATTCTGACAAAGACTATCTAATCTGAACATTCACTCCATGTTTTATTCATAGCACTGCAACATCTGATGTCTCCTGGATAGAATTTTTTATTATATTGACTGAAAATAAATTTAAACACTGAATTAATTGAACAGAAAAAAATTTATATACTTTAACATCAAATTTGGGAAGAGTATTTAAAGCAAGTCAAGACAACAGCTTAAAAGGATTTCAACCTATATGCCTAACTTTTAAAAGATTTATTAAGCAAATCTGAATTAATATCATTAAAATATTTATAATGGATAACCTATTTTTTTCATAGAAAAAGATATGATGTTCTTACTCAGTTTCCAGCCTCAATTTCATACCACAGGCTATGACAATTTTAGGGACATAATGAACACTTCTTTCAAAATGAGGTTATTTTCCCAGCAACCACCAAATAGTTCTAGGTATTAAACACAGGTTTAATACTTAGACATCTAACAAGGAAATTTTGAAGCAATAATGAAATTAACTTATTCTGGATACTACACAAAATCAAATTTTTAAAGAAATGTCTAAATCCTCTAACATCATTTAAAGTATTTTAAAATCATCAGAAGCATCTGTTATAATTGGAAAACACAATTCAATCTGTTTTTCCAAGTAGATTATAAAAAACAAAAAAGACAACAAGCCAATCCCAAAACTCCAAATTAAAATCAATTACAATTGCTTTGTGCTTCTATGACCATGTTTTGCTTCTTAAAAATTGTTTCCTTTTCATTGTAAAGTTTAAGAAAAGGGTATTTTATGGTTTAATCCCTTAATTTTGTGTTTGTTTTTATAGCAAAGACATTTTCATTGTAATGTTTACCTATTCAATACACGTGCAGTTTCAAGTTGGTTTAATGGAAGCAGTGAAACAGGAAATAATCTGCCAGCAGGATGAAGAGGAATTGCCAACCAAATCTTCATGTTGTATCCATGGTATAATGTCTTCAAGGACTCCAAAGTACATTTCTGCAGTTCAGATTCTCAGAGGTCACTGAGTTTTATCATTATCTCCAAGCAATTTTCCCCACATCCTGTTAAGCTCTCTCTAAACAGCTGTGTGTGTTGCCACGCAGCTTCACCATCCCCTCCATTTAGAACTGCTTCCAACATAACTTCCGTTGCTCCAGAAAAATCTGAATAGGAGCAAAGATTTTTATCTGTTGGAGGAAAAGATAGAAAATTCAGTAAGCCACAGCTCCAGAGAGTATATAATAATAGAGTGCACGCTAAAAATGCTAGGCTGTAATGGATGTTTAATGATCTCAGTTGCAACTACTCAGATTCTTTTGCCACCAGACATAGAAGCAACTATCCTTCCTAGTAAAGCAAAAGTATCTTGTATTCACTCTGTGTTCTTGCTTGCCCTGCTCTGTTGCAGGTAGGGCTGTGTATATTAATAAAACTGAGTTTCATATCAGCTTTAATTAAATGCGCAGTATTTTCTCGACCTTGCTAAGAAACACTGTTGGAAAAGTAAAGAATATTCATATTTTGTTTTTAGTGTTTGCATAGTACTCTCTCCATATAAACTATTTATTTCTAGTAACACCTCTGCTACATGATATAATTCATTATTTAAATTCCACACATACCTCCTATCAGGGCGATTTCTGCTGTAGGAGAGTGAAGTCTCCACTGTATTCTTCCACTCTGAAATGTTTGACTGCTTGTCCTAACTGAAATGTTATCTATTTTTAGACCGACCGACTTGCACTCAAACTTCCAGCTGATGGAAGCAGAGGATGACCCTTCTTTTCGGGCTAAATAAACCTACATGGAAAGGAGACAAAACCAGCATGTCAAAAACTGAGACAGCCAACACACATCAAATTAATCCTCATAACAAGGATATAAAAATCTTAGGACAACACATTTTCATTATTTGTTAAGCCCCTGAACCTTTAAAACTGTACAAAGTACAATTTTATGTAAGAAACCTCTTTCTTCATCCCCAAGTATATTCCACAGTTAGGTAATTGTACATGTTCACAGCCCCTCGCTAGGGAACACTAAACTATTTCAACATCCATAGTAGAGTTCAAGCCACAAAAACACCTAAAGCATTTTTTAAAGAAGGAGAATTCAGGGTTTTTTTTTTAATGCACATATCACTTCAGTTGTTCAGTACTGTTGATGAAAAGAACAGTGCAATCAGTAGCTTCTTCAGCTGTGGCTGCACACTGCTTCTCCTAGGACCTGATGTGCCTCAGTTAAAGCAAATCATACATGCCAGCCATTTATAAATCCCATATTAGCATTAGTGACCTGTTACAACTTTTAATTTAATTTAGTCCCAATGCTGTCCTGAACTTCACCTGGCTGAACAGCCACACTCACATATTAACATTCATTAAAATTACTATGAACCCTCTCAAGAATTTGGGCACAAGTGCCTGACAGTTCTTTCAAGTCCAACATCTATCATCAGCAAACCTAAATAACAGACACTACAGATTAAAGAGTCCAAATGACCATGATCCTTTTGGAATCCTAAATTAATAAAAATTCTGTCACTTCCAAGCTTCTGATTAATATCATACTGAGTGGACTTAGTCAGCTCTTTATTTTTTAATCTTGAGAGAACAAACCAGAATAAAATGATAATACAACACAGTAGTTTGTTTTACTAAACATCCCACCCTAATACAGAAATGTAATTGACACACTGTTAAACAGAATTTTAGTGTTACTATTTTCACACTGAAGAAAGCTCAAAACCCCTAAAGTTGGGAGGTCTTACACTGAAGATCACCTATGAAAATGTAATGATTTAATCTGTTTTCATCTGAATGTAATCCTAATGTTCATTAAGGTGCTGACCTCCACACATTTTTTTCAGTATCTCAGCTGGTTCTAGCAAGAGCTTTCCCTTGATCAGATCCTACTGAACTGCTGTATTTGAGTAAGGAAGCCAAAATACCCCATTAAATACTACTTGGTTGAAATGCACGAAACATAGTTTTGAAAAAGCCTCAAACATTAGTCTGTTTCATCTTTCATGATAATATCCAAACACTTAATCAGAAAAAATAATTTAAAATTTTATTTTGTGTGTTTTTGACTTTCTTCTAACTTTCAAACTAGGTTGCTTTGTTTCTACTATTTGAAAAAATGTCTGAATTGAGAGGAAAAAACCTAACCAACCAACTCATTCAAATTCTCTTCCACTGCAGCAATTCTTCTGGAAAACAAGCCTTTCACAAGTCCACGGATTTCAGATCTATAGTTTCTTACACTATTACTATCACCTACTGTGGTCTGCCAGTTTGAGCCCTGGATACCAGGTTATCTCTGGGTAATCTGACACAATCTGTAGTTTGTACCTGTTTGCATTGTGTACCATAAAACCAAGTGCTTATTTTCTGTTACTCTTCATCTAATACTTACAGATACATTTTCTGTGGCTTTTAGATTTAAATGCCTTTCCATCCATCACATGATAAATGTTAACCAAGTATTATTGTAAAGGTTCCTTTGGCTTTTAAGTTCTTGGACAGCTGCTGAATCAAACTCCGAAGCAGCATCTTGTACGAAAAGAAAAGGCAAACCGCAAACAACCTTTCCCTCTGCTGTTATCTCCCATTATACAAACAACACCCAATGGAAAGTAATTTTAAATTCTAAGATTCTTACACACTTTCTGAACTATGCAAATCTGCAGAACTAACATGCCTTATCCACAAGTCTGAGAGAGACCTGGAGTCGCAGCTCCTAATTTCTAAATGCCATCATCTCATCCTTTTGAGGTGGTACTGAATACAAGGGTAAATAAAGTATTTTTGCCTGGTTTTATTGATCAGTCCCACCCTGTCTTATCTGATAAGTAGAGCTGAGAAAAACTGTAGTTTAGTTTCAGCACAGGGACAGCATGTTTCTTGCAAACGTGAGGCAGAATTGCAAACATACTGTAGTATCAGATTTTTAGCAGATCCTGGGGAAGCAGAGAACATCTGTTCCTTACTCTGAGTTTTTGTTATTTCTCTTTTACTATTAAGTCTACCCTGCTGTGACATCTTTCATACTATTCTCCCATTTCTTTCCTTACTCTTTCTCTTTAGGGCAGCATAGCCTATTCAAATAATTCCCCCACTGCATTTTGCAAGTCAATTATGTACAGACCCAGGAGAGAAAATCTCAAGAGGCAGATACATACTTAGCTCCATTTTTATCAATGAGAAGCTAGAAGAATATTTGGTAAGACACCCTACAGACTAGCAAAATGACAGAGGAAAAAAGCAGTAACATGCTCTATTCCCTGACAAGAATCAGTTCCACAGTTGGTTGCTGCGGTGGGAAAAAGCTGTTTGCTAGTACATGACCCCTTCCCACTCCACAGGTAGCAATTCTCTTCTTAGATTTAGAGCCTGTGACTCTTGTGCTCCTCAGTCCTGACACTAGGGAAGGGTTCTGGGCATTGTATCCAATATTCTGGATAACTGACAGGTTTTTGTCTTCTTATAGATAGAATTGTATTATTTAGGATGACAATTTCTTCCTCTGGCTGTACATAAAAGAGATCTAAAACTATAAAACTATTCTTAAAAAAACAAATACCTTTTTTTATTTTGAGAGAAGTACTGCTTTTCAATAAAACAGCATTTTCCCACAAGCCTAAGAAGGAAGCCATTTTATAAATTTGGCGTTCTGGCAAGGATTTTACCTACCTGCAGAGAATTCAAACATCCTTTCTGAAAGACAAGTTAAATTTATTTCTAATTTCTTGTACCATCTGGCAATCTTACTGAATCTTAACAACAGCATTTACTAACATCAGCTAAATTCTATGGGCACCAAGAGAGGTTTTGAATCCAAACACTGGCAAGGGTTTTCTGTTTTACTGGAGTTATCATCATTTTACTGTACATTATAGGCTTTTAATAATTGCTATTCTTACCATTTTCCAATCTGTTTCAACCTTTCTCCAAATAGATTCTGCCTTCCAAACACCTGCTTCCCAGCCACTTATTTTTTCATTGTTATTGGAAATTCGTGTATAACTGTCATCTATTACATTGTAGACGAGATGGAACAGTTTAGATGTCTTCTCCTTTTCAGAGGGAATAAAAACTACTTCTTTTCTTTTCTGAAAAAAAGCCAAAACATACAAGCACCTTCATTCCCCAATGCCTAAACTCCCTCAAGACTATATTACTTCTAAACAGTATGTCACAGTTTTGCAATTCAGTTTTGCTGCCAAGTGAAAAAAACCCAAGTTTTTTTAAAAAAGATGTCATGTACAAAACTATTTCTTTTAAAGCAGTTCCTACAGCACAGCTGCAACTTTTCCAGGAGGGAGGAGTAATTTTATTTTTACAATTTTCATATAATTACTTTGAGAAGTAATTTTTTAACAAACAAACTAACATGAAAGAGTATCCTTTAAGTAAGAAATTAGTAAGTAAGAAAATTTATATGTTGAGTACACTGCTTGTACAGTGAATAAGTAAATGGTTATTTTGAATAGCAAACCTAGGACACCCATAAAAAGGTGTGTTTGTGTATGCCAGTTTACAAATCAACTTCAAAAAACTTAAAGATACAAATTTTGTAACTTCACAGTATTACTTTTTTTTAAAAAAAAAAGTCATTCTTCTTATGAGTTTAAGAAATTAAGTCTTCCAAACAACAGAGAACGGCAAAAAACTATTAATTTTTCAAACTAAGACAATCACTTAAGAAGCTCATTACTTTCACTTAACTGTTTCTGTTCAGGACAGTTAAACATTCCACATGATGGGATTGCTACAAAACTGAGGTCACATCTTTGCATCCTGACTCAAGCTAAATATTATTATGGTTCTGGGAAACTATATCTTAGCCTAAAAGTCAAGCCTTACCTTTGGAAACAGTAAAAAAATACTGATGTGAAAATCAATAAAGCTTATTATTTAAGAGATTGCTTAATTTACACAATTCTAATTGCTCCTACATTTTATTAACAAAAATAGTTGGCCAAAACCTACTATTGGTTAAAATCTGGAAGTAACTAATAATACAAATACAAAAATTTTTTACAGTTTTCCCTATTTTTTTCAACTAACTTAAACTTTCTAGTTCTGTCAAACTAACTTAAATGAAAAAAGTATTTTAACTTTTAAAAACAAAACACACTTTATATCAAGGAGTCCCAAACATTATTAGAATCAACAGACCACCATCAATTCTCAAAAATGACTTGTGGACCTCTACTGAATTCACATCAAACTTTTTTCACCTAATGTTTTCACAAGATTCACTTGTTTGAGCTGAATCTGGCTATCTACCATGAAGTGTCTTTTTTTTGTTTGTTTTTACAGACCATGAACACAAAGCCTCAGTTAGCTCACTCTAAGATGGTAATCAGTGTAAAAGTTAAATACCTCTGGACCAATTTCACCTCTGGCTACTCGCCAAGCCATTGAGCCTGATGTCCTTCCACCATATTCTCCAGGTTTAGGTGTTTTAGGAGAAATGAACTCAACAAGCTCCACAATAGTCCTTTCCAGGAGCTCTTTTTTTCTATTTTCTGACAAAGACTTTTGTCTCTGAAAAAAGACATTTAGAAAAAAACAAAACATTCAGAAAAAATGGTATTTGTAATTCTGCTCTAGAGTGACACCAACAGGGAAAAATAGAATTGAAAAATGGATTAACATTTAAAGTCTAGACTGATTGTTAGAAACATTAATCTTATACCACAGACATAAATACAAACAAGTCGTAAGCATACAGTTATGTGACAGCAGTGCTTTCTCTAGGAACTTGCGGGCACTATGTGGAATTCTTTTAAAATAACGCTTGTGCTTTGTTTTTCATACATTTATTTGGACAATAAAACACTTCCATAACAGTTTTTATAGCTACTCATATGTATGCTGTACCATAGCCATTCTCAATATTATTTGGAGGAAAGAGAACACAAGAATCATTTGTGCTCAAATTTTTCTTCTCTAAGGTGGAACGACTTGGTTGGCAACAGTTTTGGTTTTGTGATTAAGCCCAAACAAAAATCTTTGAAAGCATTATTTCACTGATTTAGTCATAAACAAACCATGACATCTGTTTTTCAGATGTCAGAAAATTAAGAAAAACTTAGTTCCAGAAAAATTAGTGAAAAGTAAAAAAATTATGTATCTTTGCCTACAAGACTAGAACTATGAGCAATTTTTGGTAAACAACTTCTAAAAATTTTATTAAGATGTTAGTATTTTGTCTACATGATCTTCATGTCAAATATACAAATCTGGAATGTGAAGCCTTCTGTTTCTTTAAATGTGGATAAACCCACATGGGGCTGAAAAAAGTTCAACATTGAGTATGTAAATTATTACACACATCTTTTTTTCCGGTTTGGTGATCACCCAAGGCATGCACACTCAGCCCACTGGGACCTAAAACTTGAGGCTGATAAGCATTTCAATTATCTCAAATGCAGTTCTGACCCCAGCAAGTTTTGCTAATAACAAAAGAAACATTTGAAGACTTTTTTGTTCCAGACAACAATGTGGCACTGTATAAAGGAAAGCAGATACAGAGAAATTATGAGAAACAGCTCCAGCTGAATAAATTCCAGATGCCAAATACCAGTTCTGACACAGAAAGGGAGGGGAAACACACCTCTGCTTGTGCTGATGGTTGACAACCAGTGGTTGCAGCAGTTTTCCATGAAACATCAGGCCTTCCTGAGTCTAACAGCTGCCCTGACATTTAGGATACTCCTATGCAGCACTGCTGAACTTGCCCCAGCTCAGAGGAAGCTTGATATGGTTTATCCTATATTAACAAAACCAATCCACAATTTCCTTTAAACACTTTGATGCTCTGGTTACTTTTCTCCATGCTCTGCTCCGTGACTCTAATTTTTCATTACTGTTAACATTATTTCAAGCCCTGGTCTCAAAATATTAGTCCAGCTCAGTTATTCACAGTCTTAATGTATGGCTATAACTCTGAAGCCAGCAGGCCTTAAAAAAGGCATAATCTGTTTTTAAGTCATCAGCTGTATACTACCATTGGAAGTAATGTTTCCATGCATAGGAATTGGCCCTATAAGGAAGGGAGCACAAAATGGAAACTGCAAGGTGGTTAAAAGTTTTTATGGTATTCTAGTATATTGAATCAAGTTCATGGTGTCCCAGGTAGGGAGTGGAAAAAGCTTAGCAGAGAAGTTCTGCAATCATGACATGCAGGTGCAAATGGCTCCATGTATTTTGGGGATGTTAAGCATGAACAGTGTAAATACATATGGTTCTGAGTCAAAGCTCTGCTGATGGTATCAACACCTTTTGGAAGTCTTGGAAACAGCCCAGGAATCATCGCTCTCACTTCCTAGAGCTTGTAAAAAGCCATTGAAAGAAAATTAAAGCTGCATTTCTTACAACTGTAAATGCTACTGTTTTCAAGTTATAGCAGCCCTGATGTGGAAAACATTCAGTCACCCTGAAGGAGTCCACATAGTTACTAAGGAGTTGCAGTTTACTCCCAGCAAGTATAAGTCTGCTCCAAAGTCTCTAAGAAAAACAACAGATACACACACATCTGTGTATGAAGAGATAATATGATAATACTCTCACATACCTTTATTTATCTTATTTCCCGTAAGTTCAGCACTGTATCTGATTTGTATGTATTCAGGGTATTCAGGGTAAAATGGGTAATTAACAGCATTTTTTATTATCCATGGTGAATGGATATTCCTGTAAGGTTACCAAATACATTCCTTTGCTTGAGGACTTCACATTCTGCAGATACTTGTGTTTCAGTGTCAGAAACCCACTGAAGAAAAGTGACATACCGTTCTATTTAGTGCATTAATTGTCTCTCGCAGCGTAGCTTCACTGAGTGCTGTCCTTCTAGAGAGTACCTCTTCATGTTTACAGCTGTATCTCCAGGTGACATCTACCACCTCAAGCACAAGTGGAAGAAAATAAAGCAACCAAAAATTTCCACATATCTTGCTTCATTTAAAGACGCTAGTTAATAAAAATATGCTTTTCTACAATAATTCTGAAAATCACACCAAGGTGGAATACATTGCATGCTTGCTTCAGGGCAAGTTTGTTTATTATTAGCATCATTACTCCTACCTCATCTTTGGAGAATGCAATTATGTAGGAGAGCTTCTTTCCCCAGCCAGTTTCATAGAGAAGAGGCTTATCACAGACATTTTCACAAGGATCACAGTGAAGCCATCTTTTCTGAGATGAAGAATATACTTCAGTCCACACATGATCTATGTAACAAAGGCCAAGAATAAACAATGACTTATAAAGACAGAGCCTCTATTCTAATCTTGCAGAATATTGTAACTTTTTCCAATTTATTAAATGAACAGGTGAAAGAACATGTTTTCTGTTCATCTACCTATAGAAACATTACCAAATCTACCTCTTTCTTAGGATCACAGTCCCTTACATTCAGCTAAAGATTGTATCATTCCGAAGTCAGTCATCTAATCTTACTTGCAGAGCTGTATTTCATCTTATCAGGCAAAACAGGAAATTGAATGTATATTGTCTTTGTTAGCTGACTGCGTAACTGCACACACTGCCTAATGGCTAATATGATCTGAGAGACATAAAATGCCTAACCTCCTTTTGCACAGGTTTGTATTAACGTTACAATACTCCAGAATACTGATACCTGTATGGTCCCAGACATATCTTGCTTCAAACCCTACAGCTCTGCAGCACAGTGTAAAACAGTTGGCCCACTCGCCACAGCGTCCACGTCTGGTTTCCAGAAGTTTTTCAGGGTTGTTATACCTACAGGAGAAAAACAACACAAAACAAGAACAACTGAAAATAAATTTCCCTTTTCAGAAATCTTTACATCGTGTTCTGATGATCTGAACAGACTTCAGTATCAATCAGTCCACAGAAGATAATGGAAATAATTGCTGTACTGCACAAAGTACATCTGAGCAGAACGATACCTCAACTCACATGACTCCATCATATATTTACAGCAGCACTGAAATGAATCTGGTTAAGTTTTCAAAATTGATTTAGACATCTCAAAATATGACTTTTATGCTGGTCCTTTAAACAGTTAGCAAAATGTCTAAATGTCACAAAAGTATAAATAAGTTGTATATTTGCTCTTCTGCTATAGACTCAGCAAAAGATGTATATTACACTGTGGTTTCCTCCAGAAGGGAAGTTTTCCCTGCAACAACAAAACACTACCTACATATAGTTCCAATATTAACATATTTTATTTAGAAGCTGTAGTTCATCAAATTAACATTAAATAACCCCAAACAAGCCAGACAAGTATTCAGAACAAGTCCACATAAGAGAAAGCACATATTGTTTTTAAAAATCTCAGATCCTGCAGAGAAATTGCTGGTTCATCAAACATTCTATCATGTTAATTAAAAAGAGCTTCTCTACTCTCTGAACTAACAACTTCTCACCTGTTCACAAAATGCACAAATACAAAGCTGTTTCTTGAAAGAAAAAAGAGAGCAAGTTTCTGTATGCTCACCTTGGGAATCTATTACAGAGCTGACACTGGTTGCAGTAATGGTTTTCCACTCGACTGGCATCCCACCTTAGGTCATCATCAGTAGGCAACAGGTAGTCACTTTTAGGCTCTGTCTGCCCACCACACCTGCTGCAAGGAAGACTATTCACCCAATGAAAAAAGGAAGTCTTAAACCAGTCCAAAAGCTCCAACAGTAAGAAGTCCTCTTCATTCACATGTGCACCTGTAAAATTTATATAACACCCAGTTAGTTCAAATGGAAAAGTAATTTAGTTGAACTTGACAACGCCTATGCAAATTAGCATCTCTGGCCCTTTACATATTTTTATGTACTTTTAAATATAAAAACCATATTAAAAAGCTTCATGTATTACTTAAGCACACACAAAAAAGAAAATCTAAATTGCCAAGACTGAGTAAGTTCAAATTTAGGAACAAAAAACTGCAGTCCTAAATAATACAACTAGAATGAGAATAAGAAATTGCTCAGAAAAACAAGCCAGATCTACATTTCAGCCTGGTGAAGTTCCTGATGCCCTTCATACTCTTCCAGGACTTTGGAACAGAAAGTTAATTATTTTTCTGCTCCAAAATATTTTCCTATTCTTACCTATTAAACTAGGAATAACAGTTGCTTTGATTTCAAAATACCGAAGAACCAGACACTGGCAGCAATCTGAACAACCACGTGTACAGGCCTTCTATAAACAGACCTACAAACACAGCTTAATTATTGCAGAAAATATGTATATATCATGCAAACACGTTGAGTTTGTTGTAATTTCAGCAAATAAACATCTTTCTCAGCTTACCCAAGGCAGACACAGGATGTGTTGTTTTCTACTCTAACTGATTTCACGACACCAGATTCTTCTGGCCCATTTTCCTGCTTACAACAGGAGTTAGAATCTACTTACATATTCTCACTGTTCTGACACCTGGAAATAGCCCCATTTTACCTAAAAAGCAAATCTAAAAATCCAGCTTTTCAAGAAAGATCAATTTGTGTTTAAACAAAAGAATCTTTAAATGCACATCCTGTTACAATGTGCAGAGTATCGGATACTCTTCCTTCTCAGAATCATGAATATTCAAATAATTCTTCATAACAACTTTATCACCTAGGCCACATTGCAATCATAGGTATTACTGCCTGATTATTTTTATGCACTACAGCTTTATTCTAGTCACAGTGCAGACAGCTTTGACTAATGAATATTAACATATAAAATAAATTCATAAAAACGCTGCTAAAAGGAAATTGAATGCAGTTGCACTAAAAGTTTATGCACTAGCTCCTTTTTCAGGATGGTGAAAAAAGACCCCCTAAGATGAGTGTTTAAGCTCATTTCACATCTTGCTCTGATGCTGCAGTCATCCTTGGTACAAAAGACTCTGTAGGAGCACTAATGCCATTAAACACACATTGCCAAGACCATGACGTGCATGGGAAGAGATCATCTGTTAAAGAAAGCAAGAATACCTGACTTCTAATGATAGTAAAATTTCCATTTTTACTCATGTATGTGGAAAACCTTTGTGCTGGAACACTCAGGGAAAGTCTTACTGCTTACAAAATGGATATGCTTGTATATTCAAACTTTTTGCTAAAAGCTGAATGAGAAGATTTCAAGCACAGGCCATACTCTCTTTTCCTGGATAACAACATTCAAACTAGAACTCATCTCTAAAAATATGATTGCTACACTACAAACATTCTTCTCTTGATTTGCAAAATAAATCTTTCATTAAAACATCACATGGAAAATGTGTTTTATTTGAACAGAAAACAGCTGGCTGTGATACAGAGTTATTTTTGACTGTTTAGTCTATCTTTCTAATGAAATGTGGCAAAGGGAAATAATAAAATCAAAGCCACAATTCTCATCAAATTACTGTTATCTTCCTAGTATAGTCTTTATGAGCCAAAAATGCTTATTATGTGTTGCAAGGCCTATCCTAAAAACAAGTGTCCCCTAGCACAAAGTATTTATTCCCAAAGGTGGCAGTCTTAATGCAGCAGGACAGAAACCAAAGAAGCTGAAAGCCCATTACCCAAACATCTAATATACAGTCCATTCCAAGACAAATGTTTCTATAAAGCTCTTGAAAAACGCTTTCAAGCTGTCACAATCCGAAACAGTGGAGATCCATCCCTTCCCCTTTATTTGTATCTAAATTAAGGGCTGGAAGCTATTTTGACTAAATCAGCCTGATGGTTTGGGAAGAAGCACCCAGGACGCTATCCTCCGTCTTCCTTCCCCTTTTTAAACAATGTGCACAGTAGTATTAGAACAGATTCTAAGAGGCAGGCTTGTTCTTTATTTTTTTCTTTATAAAGAAATTTTATAGTTGTAATTTATTACTGTTAAGTCTCTTTTCCCCACTGTATTGTTCCACGCTGCTGAATTAGAATGCTTTGTACTTGTTCATGTGGTTTCTTACTTCCCAATACAGTTTTATAAAAGAAGAAAAATTACTGAGAAAATCCACTGTAAAAAATTTCCTTAATGCCAAAGGCACAATTATGTATTACTGTGTGGCTGTATGAGACAGCACAAAGTAATTTATAAAAAAACCATGTGAAGAGATTATTTTTGATTTGCAAACCAACAGCATTCCTATAAAGTTAGCAGAATTGCTTGAGACTGTCTTCTATCAAACATTCACGGTGAAAAAGTTTTTTTGTTTAAATATGGTCTTGGAATTGTATTTTTTTAAATATTTGTCTTATAGAAGCAACATTTCACTATACCACTGAAACAAATCTAAAACCATCACCTGAAAATAGAAATACGTCATTTTAACTGACAAAAACTTCATACATTCAAAGCAAATCCACATTTATGAAGAAAATATAAATTTTAAATACTGATGCCACAAGTAATTATGCCTACATTTCATATCTAGCTCCATGAGGAATAGAGAATAACCCTATTCATTTCAGCATTAGGAAGGAAAGTGATAATTTATTTCTATCAGGCTGCATCTTGGAAAGATCTCATACAAAATCTCACCAATATCACTTTAAAAAAGATAAGTGGTATTTAAAAATTTTATTCGGAATTTAGAACTGTAGTACATACAGGAAAACTGCACTCTGAGAATTTCATAACAATGACTACTTGAAGAAGAAGCTCCCCTCTTCATCTTGTAGCTATTTCACTTGAGATTCAAGGAATGCAACATTTGTCTCCCCAGTGTTTTTTTCTACCAATTCAGAAATTAAGAGTCCAAAATTTCTATATCAAAGTTGTAAAAGATGGATGACAATAGTGAAATAAAAATAAGTGAGTAGTAAATTAGGAAGAAGGCAATTCCAGTTTAGAAACAGCATTTGGAACCTGCAGATATATGACCAAACACACACCAACAATGTATGGTACATTTGAAAGAGCATTTCTACTTTCATACACACTTCAACTTGGCAGCCTTACCTTTGTCCAGTTTTGTAGCTTGTGCTAGCTTTTTCTGAGCCTTGCTTTTCAGTTCCTGGAGGGGAATTGCAGCCAGTGCTTTCTGCTGAATAGAAGGATTCTCATACATCAATACAAGCCCCTCAAATTTTGTTTGAAGTGTTTTCAAGATATTTGCAGCCTGCAAAAGGATTTTCAATCACAAGATGATTTATGAACTTTCACCTTCAGGCAGAATAACCAAGCTCTCCTGTTTTAGTTTAAGTCAGCCATAATTCTCTGTTGATACTGACATTATATATTTATTTGCAGGTGAAATGTTTATTTGCAAAGCTATCAACAAGAACTGAAGGCACCACCACCCAAACTGTAAAGCCAGTCTTGTCATCTCTGAGCATTCTGAATGGTGTCTTGAGTGAAAAGTCAACTAACTTAGGGAGAAAACTGTTTTAAAGACACCTCTAATGGGAAAGTCTTTGACTTCTCTTCCCCATCTAATCCCCCTGAACTTTCTTTTCTACACCTTTTACCCAAAATCCACACAAATACATGTAATCACTTTCATTTTCTGGACACTGCTACACTGGTTTGTAGAACTAAATTATTGATGAATTCTGCTTACTATTTCTTATTCACGAATGCTGCCTGTCTGTTTCTACTTCCTTCTTTTACAGATACTCTGATAGAGGTTTATATAGACAGCCCAGTAACCACCCACTGAACCACCCAGTCTGTTTCAGTAGCAACTGGATATAACAACTAGGTTTCTTTAGTCAGTTATCCTATGTGTCACCTAGAGGCACGCTGCACCCAAGAAGATACACACATAGATAATAAAACTAACAACTGAAGTTAATAATAAAGTTGGTAGCTGAGCAAAGTATTTGTTCCTATTTAAAAGGGAACAATATAGAAAGTGAAATGAGATTTTGAAAGTAAGAGTCTGGCATATTTTTGGGGGAAGCCTGTGCACCTTTTCTCTATCGCTACACCATGTTTCAGCCTTTAGCCTTGTTAACTACCATTTTAATGTAATCAAAAATGCAATGCTTTCCTGAGAGGCTTGCAGCAAATGCATTAACATACACTCAGGTGTGAGAACTCTTCAGAAGAAAACTTCTTTTAAAGGAGCACTCAAATTACAAGTGATTGTTTTGATGCTGTTACAGTACTTCAGGATCAGTCCTTAATTTTCATAACTGCTAATACAGAACACAGCTTGTTTTGCTTTTCCTGGAGCTCATCAGCTGTAGGTAACTGGTTTAACATCATAAACTCCATTGTGTCCAGATTCACTTTAATGCAAGTTGAAAGGAAGAAATAAGGGGCATTAGAGACTGCCAAAGGCATTAAGACCTTCATGGTCCATCAGCTTCCTAAAAGGGTATGCAGGGATATTGCTCAGCACAACAGGAAGTGTCCCAGACTCTTTGACTACATAGGTTTCTGATGCAAAACCATCAATGCTACAGTAGTGTTTAATCTGCTTTATAAAAGCCACTGTATGAAGTGTTATGCAAACATTTAATCGTAGAAGCCAGGTGAACCTCGCTGCAGTTCTAAGTTTGGATACATCTGTCCTCCTGTAATCACTATGCCATTCAGGAAGGGATCAGAATCCATCCACCAGAATTAACAACTAGCCATAGCTCTCCTTTTCCTAAGTCTCAAGGATATTTTATGACAAGAAAAGCAGAAGAAAACAATGAGGCAAATTAATGGTGGGCTAGGTTCCTAGAACTGTGTATTTATGAATATTCCTCTGTTCTTTCAAGTAAGCTGCTTTTCTCTGCATTTACTAGGCCTCCCATGAATGACAGGTGAAACACATAGGCAAGAAAAAAATGCTTGCACAACAGAAACAACTCTAAATCTCTCTGACATCTGTCAGCAGTGCATACAATGATAATACAAATAAAACTCTGCAGCGTACTCACTGGAAAACAAACCCCCCACTGCTGTGCAAGCAAAATGGCCAAGTCACTGCCAGACTTCCTTCCAATCAACTCAGACTATAAAGACCAAATTCAATGGCTCAGAGACCTATCAGTATAGTTTCCTGTAGAGATCAGGTACATACAGCATTCTAAGAGAGGGCAAACACTGCATTAGAAATGCCTCTAAACAGCAGTAAGTTTGGTCCCACCACCCAGGCATGGAAAATTAAGTTTCAGAGAAATGGATCCACAACTCTGATGGCTAGTGTATGTTGGGGCAGAATAACTAGAAATTGGAAGGATTAACCTCAGAATATATTGTGTTGACATTGTGCAACATCATTGTCACTGCAGGTTCAACTTTCAAAGCTTCCCTTACTAAGCAGTACAGCAGCAGCAAATCACTCTACAGGTTTCATAATCACTTCCAACCACCATTGCAGAAGTGGCTGAAACAGTAAAAATCTAGAAGCAGGCCAAAAAAGCCAACCCAGAAACCTCCAACAAAGTAAAACAAATCCAGTCAGCATATTTTAGAGGCAACTACTGTCATGCTAACATAAGTAGATTAAATGTCTCAATACAACATGCCTACAACAGTGGCTTTCCCAAAAGACCTTTTGTGTGAGGATGGGTCATTCAGTGCTCTCTACTGAATTCTCATTCACTGACTTGGGTAGGCATTGGGAAGAAGCAGTAGGTCATAGTTCATATCCAACAATATACTGATAGTATAATATAAAACATGGAAATTGTGTTTAAGGATGCATGGGAAGTGAGCTTTTGGCAGGATACAACTTACACCAGCTTTGAGATTAAAGTGACACTGGTTCTAGGAGGAAAAACTCTTCAGAAAGTTAAACCAAAGCATCCTTAAAAGCTTCTACTAAGAGGCATAACTTAATTTTTCAAAATTGTACGAGGTGCTGAGTCTGCTCCCATCGGGCCAGTTAACATCAGATGAAAGGACTCTGCTCTATATTGATCAGGAACTTCATCTCAACTTCTTGGACAAGGGAAACTTAGCCTAGATAACTATAAATTTGTCCTTGTCTGGCTAAATTTCTGTTTTTAATGACAGGCATATGTGAAAAAAGAAAGCCCTCCTCACAGGCTATACACAGAGATCATAATGCATGAACCAAGACACCAACAATTATAAGCAAGTTATGCTCCTTTCTTCTGCTGTCTCTCAAACACAAAAATTCCCACTTTCCCCCTTGTTCCCCATCTTGCTGTTCCTTTTCAATACCTATCAGCTTTTTTCCTTGACACCCTGATCAACAGAATATTCACAGACATCTTCAACAAAATCTCTTGCTAATATTTTGTTTATAGCACATTTCATCCTAAAGTAGTATGTAAACTGAAGAAAACACTCAGAAACCTTCAGAAACCAATGGGGGAAAAAATGTCTAGTCTAACCTTCTAAAAGCAAGATTAGCTATGTGGTCAGACCTATTTTCTCTGAGCATTTAACTATCCTAACAGTTAACTCTTCTTCAATCTTTATATGCAAGACTAATGAGCCTATGAAGTTTGCAGATTATAATTACCATTTCAAGAGATTGCACAAGTGATGCTTCTGGTTGCTGACGGGCAAGAGCAAAGCCAGAGTCAACAGGTCTTGAAGGCCGTTGTGCAGCTGTCTGAGTGCTGCTGACAGTTTCAGAGGATCCTGGTCTGTGGATTTGGTTTGACTCATTCAGTCTGCTACTCCTCTCTCCAGCAATCAAGTCTCTGATTTTACGTAGCTGCTCAATTGAAGCTTCCTTAGGGAAAACCAGGTGAGTTTCTCCCTGAAATTTAGACAAGTGAATTCAGCAGTTAATGCAGGTCTAAGCTGGTCAATGATCTGTAGCTATAGCTGAAGAGTTTACTGGAAGTTAGCATCCTAAGGCTTGGCAGGATTCAGCTTTTTAGATTAGGTCCCTTACAGCAGAAGCTTGAAGCCTCTCACAGTTTCAGAAGCCTACCAGATAAAGAACCTAGAGTCAATCTAGAGAAAGAGGGCTCATAACAATATGCTTTAGTTAGTAACTTATTTTGTGGAGCCATTCATGGGCTATGTAGTTATGGCTTGGCACAGAAAGCAGCAACAACAGAAATAAATGATTAATGCTCAGCTCAGCACTGACAGTACAGCAATGAAATCCTAGGCAACACAGGAAGACATCCAATGTTGAGGGAAGAAGCCCCTAGAACAGCGTCTGCTGGAAATTCTCATACATACTGGTATCTTTTATGTTGAAGTTTTAAGTTTTCAGATAGGCAATAATACTTTTATTACAACTGGCACCTGGGTTGATTTCTGGGGTTTACTTTTGGCTGCAACATGATTACTAGTAGCATAACAAGAGATCAGTAATTATGACAAAATCAAGTATATGTGTACTAAACATAAAGGAACAGGTTACTAAAAACATGGATATCCTGAAGCATTCATCCTTTAACATTTTCAGTTTCTACCACTGCAGCACTTCTACTTATGAAGGTAATTTGTTTACCTACAGTTACTTGAGGTCACACATCACTGCAGATGGAGACTTCGTGTTAACACTTAAAATCACCACAAAACTAAATGGAATCAATCCACTATCATTCAGAAACAAAAGAGGGAACAATATTAGCCATGCAGCTGAAGAGAAGTTTGTGAGCTCCAGCTCTGACTGACACAGAACTCTAACACTGAGGCAACACACTGTCAGAGACCTGCCCTTAGCTACACCACCCACCTCCCTAAAATACACCATTAAAAGTCTCCTGAGCACCAGCATGAGAACAAACCCACAAACCATTTCTATCTCTGCACTTACCACTTCTTTCAGTACACTTTTTCTTTTAATTACAAAACTACAGTAATTAACTTTATCCAAAGAGAAGGCAGAGGTCTCATGATAGCTGGACCTAAGTAACATAATGTACACATCCATACAGTTTGTGGCATCAAACAGACAAATTAAAGCAAAGCAAGAGCTTTGCACCGTTAAACAAGAGCTGGGTTTTTATACCAGCTTTCCAGTAATTATAAAAATTGCTTCTAGTTTAACAAGCTTTTCAGTTAAAGTTCCACCAACACAGGGACCACCTCAGAACACAAAGCAATCTTTTAAATGCATCCTTCTGACTGCAACAGAATCAAGATTCACTCAACACTATTTTAGGATAACATTTCATAACTTTTAAAAATGGGTTTTGAAGGACTCACCCTCCTACTACTACTTGAACAGTCAGTCTATTGCCCTCCACTGCTGTCATGACAACACCAGTACTTGTGCAGCTGCACTGTGAATTGGCTGAAAAACATTTCTGGTTCTGTTTTGGAAGATTAAGTTTTCATCAGATCAGCTTCCCTTATCTAAATCATTACAGGACCCTACTAATGGTAGGAAGATGAAGAGGAGCAGGGCTTTTTAAACATTTTTTTCTCTCTTTAAAATACCAGTTTCAACACTCATTTGTAATGCCTGATGTTCACCAAGGAGCAGATTACTACAAAGAGAAGGGGGTTCCACCCTGCTTCCCACCACTTCCTCTGTGCCAGCATGGACATGTATCCTGCCATTCAGTAAACCAGCAGTGCCTGAGCAGCAAAAAAAAAATCTTGTTATACATTAGATTAGCTCACCATTTTTCTGAAGCAGCCACATCTAAATTCTGTGCTGGCTAGCTACAGATATTTGCAGACAAGGACTGAAAGAAAATACCAACTGCCCTGAAATCTACTGCCTTGCAACTAGAGAAGCAGAAAAAAAAATTCGAATTTTAAATTTTACCATGTAAACAGATGAAGATACCTGAAGTTACTACATTATACTTACCTCTTGAAACCCCATCTCAAATAAACACTCAACAGCTCCTCTGACTGGCAACAGCCTTGTGGAGAATGCTGGATTCCCAATCCGAATTAATCTGTATTTTTCCTCATAGGGATTCCTGAACAAATTGAAAGTTACAATTATATCTGCAAATGAAGTAGACACTTAAAAGCTGGGTAACTGCACTATAAAAAATATTTTTTTTGATATTTAGTTTCATTTACATCACTTAGTCAAAACCTACATAAAACTTTGACTTTATAAATGCTTTTTTGTACTTAGTTCTGAGTTACCAACTGGTGCTAAAGTCTAGCTTGCAATTTATGTTCATGAATTCATGTTTTGTACTCCTACCTAGCAGGGCTAAGTCTGTAGTGACATTTAGAGACAACTTCACATCCCCTTATACCGGGTGCATTCTAATTGAACCCGTCAGATCAACGCTGGATGGCTTGGGTCCCACCACGGAAAGCTGTGCTAAGCTGCCTAGTACTTCAGTGGAACGACTATGGTCTCTGTACTACCTCTCAGTTCCCCTTTCCTCTTTCAACTCCTTTAAAAACCTTTTTCTTTAAAAGAAGCCATTCTCTGTCCACATAAGCTTTAACAAGTGGCTGAGGAGCCAGGCACAGACAGGGAGGGGCACCCATGCACCTCGAGCTGCCAGCAGACACCAAGGTCAAGCACACATACTGGCGAGTATGTGCACCCTGCACAGCCACCTCGCAGAAATTCAGCTATAATTAACTTTTGGTACCAACCTTGCGAAGTCAGAAGCATAGGACAAGCAAAAAAATAAAATAAAAAAACTGAAATTAAGTCAAAATGAAGGAAAAATTAAGTTTAAATCAAGTTAAATCACTTGCTGTGCAGCCACTTGTTTTTAGGTAGTTCAATACCCACCTAAGGTGGAAAATCAGGAAAAAGGCATCATTTTGTGGTTAATACACAAACTCCTAAACTTTCAAAACAAACCAAGCAGCAATAAAGAAACAGAAACCCAGAACACTCCACCTCTGTCAATGTAAGCAACATTAATTTAAAAACAACGACAAAACCACTCGAGACGCTTCTGAGCCCCGGTATTACACAACAGAACCGAAGGCGCCGCGCGGAGCCGGGGAGCGGCCGGCGGGACCCCGCGGCACCGCCCGCGGACCGAGGGCGGCGACCCCGCTCACCGGAGGATGTTGTCAGCGTAAGTGAGGAGCAGCCGCGAGGCCTCCAGGAAGATCTCCCGCCTGTTCTGGCACAGCTCGCTCACGGCGGGGGAACCCGGTGAGGACGAGAGCCCCAGGGCGGCCGCCATCGCTGCCTGCCTGCCTGCCTGCCTGCCCACCCTCCGCTCCGCGCCGCGCCACCCGCCCCCGGCCCTGCGCCAAGCGCATGCGCCGTGCCAGCACCGAGGTCACCGCCCTCAGCCGGGCAGCACCGCCCGCCGCCGGGCGCATGCGCAAGAGGAGCGGTGGAGGCACCGCCCACGGCCCCCGCTCCCACAGCCGGCGCGTTTGGGGGGATCCTTAAAGGGCTCCCTTAAAGGGTTAATCCTGACCCCGCACCCCCGGGCAGCGGGACCTCCCGGCCACACCGGGCTCTGTGTCCCAAAGCAGCTTCTTTCACCTGGTGTGCAAGGCGCCAATCCACACTCAAGGTCGAGGTATTTGATTTATTTATAGATCGGCGCAGTAAGGGGTGCACAAGGCCAGCACGATGACTACCAAAGTTTATCACTATTTATACATTCTAGCAAACAAAGGCGTTCATGTTCATTGGATACAAGTTACACAGTTCTCTTATTAATACACATGCTATCTTCTGTTGATTAAATGATTCCCTTACTTCTTATGCTGATTAGGCCACATGCCCGCTTTTTCTCTCTAGTCGATGGTTGCAAACTCACCCTGCCAGAATTGCCTTTTATCCAGTCAGAGCTGATCCCAGCACTGCTGCTGAGTTGGCTTTGCTAGTTTCTTCCTTATCTTGGGAGTTCTGCTAAATGGCCTTGTGTCCAATAAATTCCTCATTCTTTGTGCCCACTGACAGTGGTACATCCTTCTTCCCAAGCTTTGTAAACTTCCACCTCTTTGAGGTGTGATTTCACGGAAACATGTGGAACCCTAAAAAAGCAATTCTGCCAACAAGCAATCTCTTTTTCTAACACCTGGACATAACTTAGAGCTTGATTACATCTCCTTTCTGGTTGATTACACTTAAAAGTATACAAAGATCAAAGAACATAATTTCTTAAGAAAATGTTTACCTATTCCATATTTTTGGAAGATGGGAAGCCCCTTGGCAGGTAGTAACATCACTGAGATATAAATCTCCTTTTGTACTGCCCTGGTTTGACAGTACTGAGGGTGCCACACCTCCAGGCTCACCAGGGCTGCCCGAGCAGAAATGTCACTGCAGCAACTTGCACCCACCGCGACATCTGCCCTGCACTACCCACAGTCCGTCCCAGAGAAGCAAAAAAAAGAAACAAACAAAAAAAAAACCTTGGACTTTTTCTTCTAGACATCTGGTTTGTGCTGCTACTGAAATAACTGTGGTGAAGAACCTTGGGCACAAAGGCCTGTGGAGATTTGCTTTATTAGGAATGCAGATTTAAAGAGTTCCAAGCAAAAGAGGTCTTTAAAATTCAAGCTGCCTTCTGATTGTGTAGGTGATATTACACTATGGCTCTGCTGCCTGCTTCTGACAGGTCACTGCCCAGCTTCTATGACTTTTTAAGAGACTGGTACATATCCCTCACAAATGCTGAGATTTAACACAGGGCAGTTCACTTTTGCTGAGATTACATTTATTATTCTTACTAGCATTGTTAAAGTGTTACTATTTCAGCCCTCAGGAACTGGTACCAAAGTAATAAAATTTTAATTTATGATGATGCCATATTCCTTGGCTGCTACTTCAGCTTTTAATTTCCTTTCCATGTGTTTCTTGTAGACATGTGACTCTCAGTGTTGGCTGCCTTAGGAAATACAAAGATTAACTAAATTGCTGTACATGTATGCATATAAATACATAATGCATCTCAGTATGGCATTTGTAAACAACGCTTTGGAAGTGCTCATAGGCAAGCAGTGCGAAAAATTTAGAAAACCAAGTGCCAACTTCCAACAAATTGCTAACACTTTAAATGCACAAGGAATTTTATTTCTAAATTAAAAACAGATTCTTCATTTTTTAAAAAGTGGACATATGTTTAATTTTTTTATTAAATATTGCATTTATCTCCTTTTTGGCCTTTTTTTTTTTCCTTTTTCCTGCAGTATGTGCCTCATTACCGTGCTACAGTTTGTATTTTTAGGTAGCTCTGTTTGCAGCTAATAGACATTATTGTGTTACGTGGGGGTAAATTCATTTCAGTTTTCTTACTGCTGTATACTGAAATTATATAAAGGTATCACCTAACAAGCAAACTCGCACTGTAACTAATTCATGTCTCTGTTGAGACTTGGACAAATGTTTTATGCTCTGCCGTGGTAGTCTGTCCAGGATACGAACAGACTTGTTACTCCACCGGAGTGTTTCTTTGAAGGATTTTAGGTAGGGGTTTTTTTGTTTGTTTTTATTTATTTTTTTATTCCTCCTTTGCGTTATTCCTCCGTCCCGTGGCTTGGGAAGGAAATAATTTCATTGCCTTTTCCTGGTCTCTGGGCTATTCCCACGATCGCGCCGCCCGCCCCCACCGGCGCCCGCGGGCGGGGCCAGGCGGGAGGAAGCGCGGTGGGCCGTACTCGCACACCTCCTTCTTTCCCCCTGCGCCTGCGGAGTGGTGCGGCCCCGCGCCGTCGGAACGGGAGAGAAAGGCAGAGCGAACCATCGCCGGGCGGGGGGAGCACGGCCGGCGGAGGTACCGCCGAGGGCTGGGGCAGAGGGAGGCGGGCGTTTTAGCACGGGCCGGGGGAGACGCCGCCCGCAGCGGGGCGGGCCTGGCCTGGCCGGCAATGGCGGCGCTGGTGGAGCTGGCGTTTGGCTCCTGGTTTGCACATCAAAAGTAGTCATTGTCCTTGAAAGACCTGGGGGTGTTCGGTAGCGCTTGTTCCCGGGGGAAATTATCCTGCGCCTGGTTTTCCCGCACAGCAGGTATCGGGCGTTGTTGGGTCGGACAGGACGGCTCGGCGCCGGCTGACGGCATTTCAGTAAAGGCTGCGTGAGACTGCGGGACGAGCTGCCTTACAGAGCGCTGCAGGCATATTATATGTGCATGTGGGTGTATGTACATACACACTGATAAAATATGTTATATTTTGCATTATTATACGCGTGTATAATAATATGTATAAAATACATTGTCTTACCCATTGTGTATGCTATACAATATGCATCATATAGTGTATCTATAAAACATATATATGTTATACACCAAACTCCATAAATATGCATATAGTATGACTGCAGAGGAGTTTTATATTCTGTATTAGATATAGAATATATAATATTCTTTATATATTTATATATGTAACTTGCATTATATAATACATTAAATATTATTATATATTTTTATGCACTATATGCACATACTGCCTGTTTTATAGAGTCCAGGCTAAGTGGCAGAAAAAACTGAAATGGCAAATTTGGGTCAGGATTTAAAAGAGGCTCCTTTTAGAATACTTTTTAAATTATTAAATTTAATATTTGCATAAAATATGTATAAAATATAATATGTGATTGTTTACTATTTTTATTCCCTATCCCAAGTGTTCTTGGCCAGGCTGGATGCTGGTCTCTGCTGCCTGGTCTAGTGAAAGGTGTCCATGCCCATGTCAGGGATTGTTGGAATGGGATGATCTTTAAGGTCCCTTCCAACCCAGACCTTTCTGTGGTTCCATGACATTTTTTTTGTAACGCTGCTGTGCACTTGCACTGCCCAGGTCTGAGTATTTTAGCAGGAGTCCCAGCAGCACCTTATGGTGTTCATACAGCTCTCCATTTTACCAAAGAGCTGGGGATGCCAAGTGGCCCTTGGACAAGGCAAAAAGCAGGCAACCTGTTGAAGCTTGTGTTGTAGGTGTTGGCAGAGCTGTACTGCAGCCTCTGCCCTGCTCCCGCATGTCAGATGTGTGCAGTCAGACTGGCCCTGGACTGGCAGTGGCCAAGGCAAGGAAAAGGGACCATGTTATAGTACAGCACCATCACCACTTGGCATAGTGCTGTGGTCCTTCCTCAAGTACTTGTTCTCCACAGAGGCCTTCTGCCATCACTTGCTGTGCCTCTTGCGATGCAGGGTCTGGTGCTGTTGCCTTCGCTGGAGATGGTGCTGTGCCCCACATCTTGCTCAAGCTACTTGAGATACTGTCCCATGACAGTGTAATAACACAAGGCTGATTATGGGTTGGTGGAGGTGGAAAGAGAAGGAGTCTTGTCCTAGATGTGTAATTACATTAGTAGCAGAACCAGGACAAGTTTATTGACTCCTGTTTGAGGTCTCTAGACTGTTCTGCTGGACATGAAGTTTGAGATGATGATATACTCTACTTGGTAATGGTGGGACTTTCTGTTGAACACATACTTTTTCCCTTAGATGAGTGAAGCTGTTAATGCTCATTGTTTCTGCCTCCAGCCAGCTGGTGGTTAAAACTCCAGGGGAAATTTTGCAGCAAAACCAGAGAGTGCTTCATAGTTCACAGTAGTGCAAAGTCTTATTCATCGCAGCTTAAGCTAGAAGAGCCCACTAGAGGCATTCCCAAAGTGAACATTTCTGTGCCATTATCTGCCATTACTCCTACTATTCCTCATTACAGACACAGAAAATATATCCCTTTCTTCAGGGTTGAAAACAGGCTGTCAAGTAAAAAGCAGGTTATTAATTTAATGTTCTTGGAATGTTTTCCACATTGTCTGCTTTATTGTTGTGTTTGTCTTTCTCCACCACCCTCCGTTTACAGGAATGTGCTTGATTATTGCCACCATGTTCTCACAGTGCTCACGGGATCTGTTAAAGATTGCAATTCTTCATCTCCGGAGTCTGAATGTAAATCTACATTTACAAAACCAGCGAAGGGCTTTCAGCAAGTCACTGCCTGCATGTCGAAGGAAAGTAGTTGTTACAGGTATTGGCTTAGTGTCCCCTCTTGGTGTGGGGACTCAGTTTGTGTGGAAGCACCTTCTGGAAGGAGGCAGTGGGATTACATCACTAAATGGGGAAGAATATGCAGGCATCCCATGTAGAGTGGCTGCATGTGTGCCAAGGGGAAACAAGGAGGGTGAGTTCAGTGAAGAAAGCTTTGTGTCGAAGTCAGAGATCAAATCCATGAGTTCTGCCACCGTGATGGCCATCAGTGCAGCAGAGCTTGCAATGAAGGACTCTGGCTGGTCTCCCCAGTCTGAACAGGACCGCTTAACTGCCGGTGTAGCAATTGGGATGGGAAT